GGGGGGGGGGGGGGGGGGGAGGTTCATCTTCTCCCCGATTACCGTCCGTTCCTTTGAAATTTTGGGTAGTAGGCTTACTATTCTGCCCCTTTTTATTACGGGATGAATCTTTGGATTGCAGGCAATCCTTAGAATCATGCCCGTACCACCGACAACCCCTGCAATACGGAGTGAAGCTGTCTACAAGATCAACCGTGAGAGTGTCCAGCCCCAAAATAATATGTATTCGGGGGTTAAAGTTCACCTTATCTGTCGAATTCAATCCAAACTTGATATTAACCAAATGGGGATTGTCTTCGTCGTAGATAGGATCAAAATCTTTGATAATGTCTCCGATGGACTGACCAATCATGATGCGTAAAGTGGAGTATGCTCCAACAGGGACTCTTATCGCCATAACCCAATAATTCTCTTTTTTCTCCTTATCCCTCAGTTTGATCCACTCATTCTTGGGCAACCAGGATCTTATTAGCACTTTGTACCACTTCGATTTCAGTTTGAATTTTTCTATATCCTTTTTTATCAAGACGTCTCTGATCTCCTTGGAACGTGCTATGTATGTAACCATGTGTTGACCCTCAACATGAGTAGTGCCCCGTCCTAAGGCAAGCTGTTGGGGGGAAAGTTTTCCTCCTTCCAGGTTACGAATCAGAAACAGTTTCTCTGAACTGCTCAGAAATTTAGCCGGACCCTGAAAGGCATACACTACTGTATGCTATTTCAGCCATTGAATCTGGATTCGATTGAATTCGTCATTGGGAATTACGATAATGACACCGTTGATGACTCTGGTTCTTACATACCGATTAACATCCGGGATGTTGCCCTGTGAGTAGCATTTTTGTAGTAGTTTCCTGATTCTTGTCTCCTCTTCTTCGGAGATAGGTTCACTCCAGTTCTCTGCTGGAGGGTCTCCTTCGGATAATGGATCCTCCGCATCCATCGGAGACCAATCCACTACGAGATTAGTTTCCCTTCGTTAAAGAAGGGGTTCAAACCCTAGTTGAAGTAAACTCGAAGACACGAGTAGGTTTGTACCACAAGCGTTATCCGAAAAGCATAATGAGGGCTATTCTACTGACGTGTTGGGCGGAGCTCAGCCAGTCTGAGAGAAATTCATCCCGAACATTGAGAGAGAGTGAGGTAGGATTCCAATAAAAGCAGCAGCGCATTCATCCGGGGAACTGAGAAGGTCGGTAAGGTTCCGGGCTTACCAGTACTGTCCAAATTGGGCACCAGCCTTAACCACATGAGAACAAAATAAATGCCCTTTGAAAGGGGCAAGAGAGGAAAGTTTCCTCGAAATGTCGTGCTTATTCTTCCTTCCACGGTTCTATGATCGAACCCAGAGAACCAAAATAGTTCTCAAAACCGAGTAATAAAGGCTACTCTATTGGCGCTCAGGAGCAGAAATCGACAATCTGGGAGGAATTCATCACGGTTGAAAATTATTTTCGAAAGGGAGAAAAAAAAAAAAAAACTCATCCATCCAATTTAACCAGGGGAGATGAGACGGTCAACAGAAAGAGGTCTAGCGGTACCGTCCAAATTTGGACTGAGCCCTAACCACTTGAAACCAAATAATTGCCCTTTAAAAGGAGGGCGGAAGGAAATTCCTTCGAAACGTCGTTCTTTCCAATAATAGTATGGACCGAGAAGAATTCATTTTCCATTTCTACTCAAAAGCTAATACGGAAATGGAGAATCGAAATGGTTGTACCGCCATAATGAAACCAAAATAAAAGGAAGAAAAAGCCAATTCCTTCTCAGAATTCCGAAGAAATCGCAGGGGAACAATAATTCTGAAAGTCAAGTAGCATTCACCATGTGAGACAAATCGCGTTTGCTTGAGAGATCTACTGATCTCAGAAACTTCGGAGATCAAAACAGACAGTGTCCCACGACAAAGGCTCAAAAAACAGAGTATCACCTTGTAGTTCTTCTTATCTTCAAAAATTGATCGTGAAAGGCAACCTTTTACTGAAGCACGGAAGCAGACTATGCTCCAGGTTGAAAGGTACACAAGGAAGAAGGTTACCTTGTTACTTTATTCCACCTCATGCGTACACGCCTTGAGAGAATATCACCTCATTCACTGTGCAGAATTGGAATCTGCACTTCGCCTGTAGACGAGATGCCTCCCGGCATATCATCTCTTATAACTGGATAATAAAAGTTGATAACTGTTGAGGACTTTGCCCCAGTCCCTACATGCTGCGATCAGATAAAGTATCTGAAAGCCCGTGACGGGCTTGAGCATTTCCCCGGATGCCGTATGCCACGAGGTGGCTATGGCGGCATCTTCCTGGGTTAGGTGAGGTGACCTAATTCGTCACCGTGGGCTCGTGCAGGCGCTGCGCGGCGCCGCTTCGAGCGCACCTGGTCGCCTCCGTAAGCCTTAATTTCTCCTCTCCTTTTTCTGGCGAAGTGGACCCGCCCACCCTCGATTTTCCCGGTGTGCGGGCCTACGGCCCACCTTCTTGACTCACGTCTGTGCAATCTGGCATCATCTTCGACCTCACTTTTTCCTATTTTATCTGGAGCAGTCGTGTGCAGGAAGGGGCGACAACCGTTTTGGAAATCTGAGAGCACCCCTGCGGGAGTGCGCTGTGGCAAATGGCACTCTCAAATGGGATTTCCACTCCGAGAGCGCTTCTGGAAAATTTCCGGGGTCTGCGACTCTGGGAGTGGTGTGCCGAGGCCCTCAGGCGGTGGACCCAGGGGCAGGATGCCAATTTATGGAAACCCAAAAGTGCAGAAAATCAAATAAAAGAAAAGAAAACGCTCTTGCGAGCGCGGCTCGCCAGCAGAGCAGAGTGGGCCTAAGTAGATTTGAACTACTGACTTTACACTTATCAGGCGTATACTCTAACCAACTGAGTTATAGGCCCATGCTTGGAAAGACTTGAACTCTCAACCCCCAAATCCGTAGTTTGGTGCTCTATCCAATTGAGCTACAAGCACATTCATTCGTCCCTTTCGTCTAGGGGTATAGGACATCGCTTTTTCATGGCGAAGACACGGGTTCAAATCCCGTAAGGGATATATATGATATGATATCTATCATATCAAAGGGCCAGGTCAGGCGGGTCACACTACCGAAGCCTGTCAGTTGCATTAATTTAATTAACAAAAAACAAAACCACACATATGCCTACAATGAATCAATTAATTCGTCATGGTAGAGAATCAAAACGACGTACGCAACCTACTCGAGCTTTAAATCAATGTCCTCAAAAGCAGGGAGTATGCCTTCGTGTTTCTACAAGAACACCAAAAAAACCCAACTCAGCTTTACGCAAAATAGCTAAAGTGAGATTAACCAATCGAAATGAGGTTATTGCATACATTCCGGGAGATTCCGCTCGACCCATGGTCCTTAGGGGCAATGGAGAATTTCGGCCGACTTCGAGGGGCAAAACGCAACTTTCCCTACATAAAACTACAGTAGCTCCCAGACATAATAATATCCCATATCCCATATCATACATATACATATCATATAATATAACCGGCACTAAACTAATCGGGCTGATTGGCCCACCCTAGCGGCCGCCCCCCGCCTGCCGCACTGGTGCCTCAAAAAGAGCATTATCCCGCCTCCCCAAGAAGCCTACGGCCGTCAGTCGGCGACTGCAAAATTGTTTGTGGGCCCATCGGGCCGTACACAAGCCTTCACCTGATTGACGGGGTCTGAAAGCTCCAAGGCAAAAGCCGGGTGGCTGCAAATTCGCCGTAGGTCGTTGTTGAGTGGGCGAAGGTTTCGGTAATACCGAGAAGGCCGGGGGGGGTTGCGCGGGGGGCTATGCCAGGGCGAAACACGGGCGTCGAATGTAGGTCGGTGATCGAGCTGGCGAGTGAGTACTACAGGAAGGATGCATCTGTGAGTGCGTGGGAGGATGTGCGTGTTCCTTTGTGTTGGAAGGTGCTTTCGATGGCCCCACTGTTGCGCTCCTTCTCCTCCTTTCCCCCCTGGATCCGGCCCTTCTTCCACGTCAGCCCCTCTCTCCCCATCCCGGCCTCCCTCTCTTCGGTCTCGATTGGCAATCTAAATTAGGGACTACGCATAAGTGTTTTTAATAAGTGGCCTGCTTCCTTACCCCCCTCTCCCCCCCCCCCAACATAACTGCCTATTATCGTGACGGTATTCCACTAGGATTTCTATCTTCTTTCACAAGGATTCCTTCCTTCTCTCCTCGACCGTAATTCTCTATCATCGTAAATGAATACAGCCTTTATTCTGGTCAAATGCCATGATGAGAGAAAAGACATACAAATCAAATACGTAATATCATATACATATAAGTATAAGTAATATATACGTACTTGACGATATATAAGTAATATATGTAGTTTGTCACAGCCCCTCGTTTGTTGTCCTCTTCTCCCTCTCTGGCTACGGTTTACCGGCCAGTTCTATTTGACGATATATATTCAGTCATATATATCTAATTATCTAATATCATTAAATATCTAAACTTATCTAATATAATAATTTGTCTAATAAGATTAAGTCATATAGTCATAAATTTATTTTTAAAATATAAGATAATTTTTTATTTTAATTATGTCATGTTGCTTTCATTGTCATATTCACAGTAATAATATAGTAATATATATATAATTAATGGTAATAGAAATCAATAATAGTAATAAATTGCACTAAAAGAATCATACAGTTCTTTTCTTTAATAGGAACTCGTAAATGAATACAGCCTCCATCCTGGTCAAATGCCGTGATGACCATAGGGAGTTATGTTAGGGGGAATAAGTAAGCTACGGTAGGAATCTCCTCTCCTCTCTCCTCTCTCCATTCACATCCTCCTCCTCTTTGGATCAATTTGCCCGTGCCGCCGAATTGACCGTTCACCATCTTCTCCTTCTACCTGCCGCCGCATGTTGGTCGCGATCCGGATCGGCGGGTGTTCGCGAAGGTCCCGACGATCGCGATCCAGATCGGCTCCGCTATCCTCTACTTGTGCTGGATTTCTCCTGCCCATCGCCACCACCTCTTCCTCCCCTCTTCCTTCTCCTCCTCCTCCTCCCCTTCGCCGAGTCGTGGTCCACGTCACACCGGTTAAACTCCCCTGTCCCACCGGGAGTGCCCCGTCTCAGGCGGTGTATACATCGATTGCTTTCCTCCTTCTCCTCCTCCTCCTCCTCCTCTTCCTCCTTCTCTTCCTTCTCCTCCTCCTCCTCCTCCTTCTCCTCCTCCTCCTCCTCCTCCTCCTCCTCCTCTTCCTCCTCCTCCTCCTTCGCCCGTGTTCCGCTTCTTCCTAATTGGGATCTGGATCGTCATGTGGTCCCTATAAGCTGCTGACCCCACGCTGTGAGCTACAACGATTGGTCGGATGAAACCGAGCATACTGTTCGCGGGCCCTACTCTTCCTCGTTCCTGCATGTCCTCCTCTTCTCCTCCTCCCTCTTCTCTCCGGTGAGCGCGCTTTCCTGCCTGCACTCTTCACATCCTGCCACGTGACATCTGCGTTACCCGCCCTCCCGCTCTTCCTCCTCCTAATTGCAATGTCCATCGATTTTAATCCCCATCTCCCTGGAACTGCCGCCTTCTTCCCATCTTTCCCTACCCCCAATTAGACCCCCTTCCTATCCAAACCATCACCTCCTCCACCTCCTCCTCCTCCCGCCCCCCCCCCTTTGTGCTGCTCCTCCGTCTCTTCCTTCTGAGTGGTTTCCCATCCCTACACACCTACTCCCTCCCTCGTTTCCCTCGGCATCCTCGAGTATCGCGATCCTTAGTCAGTGATTACCTGCCATCTCCTCCTCCTCACAATCTCCAGACAGCGCATCTCCCTACCGACTTCCCAGAATAGCACGCCCGGTCTTTATTGTGTTGTAGCTAAACCGAAATCTGGTCCCATCATAGCAACAATGACACTGCGTTCTATTCGGGGTAGACGGAAGGAAGAGGAGATCGTGGCCACACACATATCTGATTTCTTGATTTCTGCACGCGCACTTCAATCTTTTATGCCTCGGAATACGAGTATGTCTTTTTTTTTTTTTTTTTTTTTTGACTTTTTGTTGGTTTTTCGAAACCCTTCTGTTCTCTAAAAAAATTGCGGAGTAAATAAAATGGAATAACATGGCCTAACCCTCCTCTCTTTCGGCGGACAGATGCTCCATTTCTCTCTCTCTCTCTCTCTCTCTCTCTCTCCCCGTTCTCTTTTTCGCGCTGTCCCCTTCCTTTCTTCATCATACAAGCAAGCCACGTTGACGCTGCCATCTGTGCTACTCTCTCTCTCTCCCCGTTCTCTCTTTCGCGCTGTCCCCTCCCTTTCTTCATACAAGCAAGCCACGTTGACGCTCCATCTGCGCTACTCTCTCTCTCTCTCTCTCTCTCTCTCTCTCTCTCTCTCTCTCTCTCTCTCTCTCTCTCTCTCTCTCTCTCCCGCCGTCTTTCTTTCTCAGAATGGAAAATGATGAGAAGCGGTCGCCGTGGTGTTGGCGTGATCCTCTGCCATGGACGATCATCGCCTCCGCTGCTCTAGTTCTGCTAATCCCAATCCCTCGTTTTCCAAAGGCAAATTTTGTCTAACTCCCTGAAGTAGACAAAATTTCTCAGAAGGAAACATGAGAATCGGTCGCCGTGGTTCTTTCCCTCCGTTTTCCATCCCGGACTGTCTCGTCTGTGCCCATCCCCTTTCCTTGTTGTGCCGATCCCGATTCCGACGCTCTTCTCCACCGTCCTCCTCTCCCTCCCTCCCACCTCCTCCCTCCCACCTCTTCCCTCCCCTCGCTTGTCGGATCCCGATCCCGATCACCTTTCCCCTCTCAGTGATTACACGACTTTCTTCTCCTCTTCCTTGCCAACTCGTACCCCGATAAGATCCCGACCGCTTAGATACGTGTCCCGAGCTCTTAAGCCCTCCTCCTTCCCCCCGATGTGACATCGTCCGACCTCATCCTCCTTCCCCGATCCCGATTTTGAAGAAAAAGAC